GGAGCCACGGACCATATGGTCAACAGAGATGACGTTTTTACCTCCTGGTCTGTTTTGTCACCGCCATTGCAGGTTGCTGTTGCGAAAACCGGCGAATTCATGACGGCGACAAAGCGTGGTCTAATCCACGTTACCACCACGTTGGGTTTCACTGGAACCTTGCAAGATGTGTTATTTACACCCCAGGCTACAACCAACTTACTATCCATTCGTCGAATTCAAGAGAGTGGTATGAAAGTGGTATTCGATCAGGGTGTTCAAGTACAGGATAAGACGGGTAAAACAATATTAAAAGGTAAGACAAATAATGGTTTATTTGGTGTGAAGTTTAGAATTAGTAAAAACATGACCGAGAGTGGAAGTACATTAATGGTCAGAAATAGCGACAATTTTCGTTTATGGCATGAACGTTTAGGCCATATTAGCAACGGCAAATTTCAACAATTAAAACGTTGTCAAATGGCTGATAATATGTCTGATTTAAATAAAATCATGCCCACTAATGACCTTTGTGAAGCTTGTCTATATGGAAAACAAGCAAGACTTCCATTTAACAAAAATAAAAATAAAAGTCATGTGAAAAGGCCCCTATATATTGTCCATACGGATATATGCGGCCCAATTACACCATCAACATTAAGTTGTCAAAATTATTTTGCTTCCTTTATTGATGATTACACTCACTATACAGTTACATATTTATTAACGTACAAATCAGAATTATGTAAAGTTTTTAAAGACTTTGTAGCTAAAAGTGAGACACATTTCTCTCTCAAATTAGAAAACCTCTACTGTGACAATGGAGGTGAATATTTATCTAATGAAGTAAAGGAATTTTGTTTAGAAAAAGGAATAGCATTCCATTTAACGGTTCCTCATACACCACAACAAAATGGCGTAGCAGAACGTATGAATCGTACAATAACCGAAAAAGTACGATCAATGTTAAGTTCTGCAGATCTTGATAAGTCATTTTGGGGTGAAGCAGTTCAAACTGCTACATATCTTATCAACAGAACCCCGACAAAAGCGCTCAACACAAATAAAACGCCATATGAAATGTGGCACAATCGAAAGCCACAATTAAATCATTTAAAGGTGTTTGGTTCAACAGCAAATAATCATTTAAAAACAAGAAAACATAAATTTGATAATAAATCAATAAAAGGAATTCTTGTAGGCTATGAACCATAAAATAAATATGGGATGTTCATGGTAAAAAATTTATAATTGCTCGCGATGTGGTCGCGGAGGAAATAAATTTTAAAGTCTTAAGACCAAGAGAACTAGAAGGAGATCTTGAAAGTTTTAAATCTCCTAATCACAATGAACTTCCTATCAATAAAGGTGAGTCACCAAAAGTCATAAAATCAACTGAGGAACCAAAACAAGAAATTTCATTACGCAGAAGTGAACGGTTAAAAATTCGTCCACCACTATCATATGATGAAAGTCATCATAATGAACTCCTAAATTACGCTGCATCAGCTCAAGCTGAAGTAGGGTCGTTACCCGTAACATATGACGACATTAAAACAAGGCCAGATAAGAAGCAGTGGGAGCTTGCTATTAAAGACGAATTGGATTCACTTCGAGCAAATAATACCTGGACAATCGTACCTAAACCTCTAAATAAAAACATAGTTAGCTGTAGAAGGATTTTTACTATTAAAACAGATGTTCAGGGAAATCCACAAAGGTACAAAGCGCGACTGGTAGCACGGAGTTTCAGTCAAACTTATCCAGCTGATTATACAGAGATTTTTGCACCAGTCGCAAGGATTTCCACTTTCAGGCTACTGTTAGCAATTGCCAATCAGTTTAATTTGTTAGTCCATCACATGGACGTAAAAATGGCTTTCTTAAACGGAACATTAAATGAAGAAATGTATATGCAAGTTCCGGACGGTGTTAAAACTGCAAATAATCAGGTGTGCAAATTAAATAAAGCGTTATATGGTCTAAAACAGGCGTCAAGACGGTGGTTTGAACATTTTGACTCCATAATTAAAGCAAAAGGTTTTCAAAATTCAGCAGTCGATCATTGCCTTTACTACTTAAATAAAGGACACGTTAGTAAAAATATTTATATTGTATTATATGTGGATGATTTAATAATTGCCACACAGGATAAACACACAATGTTCTCCTGTAAAAAAAATATCTCATGACATGTTTTGAAATGAGAGATCTAAGTGAGGTTCGATTCTTTTTAGGAATTGAAATTAAAAGGGAAAACACTAGAATTTCTTTAAACCAAAAGTCCTACTTGAACGCTGTGTTACAAAAATTTAATATGACTGACTGCAAGTCTACTAAAACGCCCTTGCCGGAAAAAATTGATTATGTGGGCTTAAATTCAGAGGAAGGTTACAATGCACCTTGTAAAATCTGATTGGGTGTTTAATGTACGCAATGGTTTGCACACGTCCTGATTTGTCATATGTAGTAAACATCTTAAGTCGATATCAAACAAAATAATCAAACTTTATGGCAATATTTAAAGAGGGTATTACGATATGTCAAAGGAACTCTTGATTTAGAATTAATATATACAAAAGGTGACGTTAATAACATTTTAATTGGCTATGTGGATTCAGATTGGGGAAGCAATGACATTGACCGGAAAAGTACAAGCGGCTATCTTTACAAATTATTCACTACTTGTACTATAACCTGGAATACTAGAAAACAACAAACAGTTGCAGTTTCAACAACTGAAGCTGAACACATAGCATTATTTGAAAGTGTAAAAGAAGCTATGTGGCTTAAGTCTTTGTTAACTAGTATCGGTATAAGGGTTTTAAATCCAGTTGTCATTTTTGAAGACAACACCGGGTGCATAAACATTGCAAATAACCTCACAAATCACAAAAGGTCAAAACATATAGATATTAAATATCATTTTACGAGAGAGCAACTTGAAAAAGGCAACATAACCACTAAATATGTCTCCACAGGTGAACAACAAGCTGACATCTTCACCAAAGCGGTACCTGTTGCAAAATTTAAAGCAATGAGAAATAACATTGGCTTACAATAAGGACGCTTTTGTAGTTAAGAATAATTATCTTCAGCTATATACTTGGTAACCAAATCAAGATACCTGTATTTACTTCGTCGTTTCAATTTTTGAGTGGGAGTGTTGTAATTCAATATATTAATTAAAGCAAAAATTATTACGACCATATCCCATACATTCTCTGTTTAGCTTACTGTTAAGTATTTGTTTATAAAGGGCGATAAATGTAAGACGCCCGAGAAACGCTGAGTACTTCAGTTTGAATTTTATATTTTGTAGATGCGTATTTGTGATCTGAAAAGTTAGTTCGTAATAAGCTTCTAAAACGAACGGATCGCATTTTTAATACACGCACTTTAAGGACAATTGTGTTTTAATTAACCCATTTCCAAGAAAATAAAAGTGCATAAAACACATACAACAAAAACTTTCTTCGTCACGACTGAAAAGTTTCCTTTTTTATAGCACCTTACATTTTTATACATTGATTTTTCAAGGGCCTTAAATTCTGACTTCGCCAATATTAATATTACTTTTCTTTTTGACTAACAGATAAAAATTTTTTAAACAGACAGAATACAACAGTGTAAAATACATGCCAAAAAAACTGGGAATTTTCTAACGGTATTTCTGTCATTAAACATAAATTCTAGACCTTTTTTTATATTTCTAACGATGTTAAGAAGATAACAACTGTAATTAATTTTTTAGAGTAAAAAATAAATTCTTTTCATAAAATATTTGAAAAATTTTGCACATACAAACATATATAAATGAAGCTTACTTTGGCTACTTTTAAAATATCGCATAATGCTTTATAAGTTTGATTCTGTGCCAGCTGATGACCGCTACATGGATCTCTGTACCCAAATATTTGTAACTTCTTAACAATGAAAAGTACAATATAGGAACGTAAAATTTAACGTTGTTTAAGAATCTTTTACATATGCATTGCATATCATATTATGTAGCACTCTTTAAATTTTGAGAATCTCCATATTTCCTCGTTCCTCGATATCTCATTAAATCATTAATCAATGAAAATAGAAAAAAAGACATCACAGATTAATGTTGCACGTTTTTACTTATTGTAATAGGGTCCATCAGAAAATGGTCACTTTTATGTTTTCACGACGTTTCATGACCTCTAAGATACGAAAAAATAGGTGTCTCGTTTCCGGCTGCCTGTCTGTCGTTTGTCTGCGACGATTTTTATTACACACACTCTTCGAAACTACTTGATCGCTTGTTGTCAAATTTTATATGTGTTAGAAATATCATGTATACTTATATATGGTAAAATGCTCACCAAAAGTTATAATTTTCAAATATGAATTCATATTTCCGTTTTTTCAATTTTTATTAAGAATTTGTTACGAATTTTCTATATTTAAAGTTGACGTTTCTGAAATTTTTCACTTTTTTAAATGACGCTCCAACATAATGAAAGAACAAAACACAATTAGATAAAGCAATGAAGTACAGAGTGTTCTAGTCAAAAAAACTGAAATATCTATATTTGAAAACTGTTATAATTACACTTTTTATAAACAGTCTGTACACTAAAATTTAATTTCATTGATACCACAACAAAACACGTATCTCGGTTTATGTCTACATATTTGTCAAAAATAATCAGAATAAAGTGGCAACGTGGCATCAGAATTTTAAAACAAACTACAGTTATAATGCCTAAGGAGAGACTAATCAGAATACGTAAAATCATATAAGGTGCCGTACTGAAGAAATTCTGTTACCTCTCAAAAACAACACTTTGTATGGTTGCAAATAATTTTGGTGCATGGTATTGAAGGAACCATATTATAACTTTAATTTTTTACAGGTGGCTAAATTTTTTAATCTACAGTAATCATTTTTTTTTCAACAAGGACTAGATGCATAAATCATTATTGACACTTTGTGTAACAAAATGCATCGACATTTTGTCAAATATCTGCGTCACGCATAAATAGCTTACCCATTTAAAGTATATTGGTACACATGTACAACTCCACTTCTTACTGTAGCAGCTATATGTGTTGAACCATCTTGTGCAACATTAACAGATAAATGATTCACAATGTCTTCCATTAAAAAGCTTGCAATTGCATTTTTCCCATCAATTTCTTCATTCAAATTCCAACAACTTAAGAGTCGATCACCCTTAAAATATAGTTGCATTAAATGTTAATATACTGTTAAATCAAATACCTTTGAGCCACTTATCACATATGCATCACTTGTGCTCCGCACAGGATGAATATAGTGTAACAATGTAATTAAAGAAGAGTGTCCTGTGTATGTTTTGATCACCTCTTGTGAGTTTATACTCCATAATTTAATACATTTTGATGCAGTTAACAACCTATCACTATCTGGTATAGCTAAAATAGCAACAACTTTGTCATTTCCTGTAGGCCATTTACTAAAAATTGCATAAAAATAAAACAGTCATGGTACCATAAAAGGAAATACCTGCTAAGATTTTTTTTATAAAAATTCCACACCAATACATTATTATCTGTTCCTGAATAAATGTATTCATTCTTATTTGATGATAGACAGTTAATATGTTGGCTTGTGGCACTATCAATTATACAATCCACGTCACCTTTCAACAACGAATATATTAATAGGCGTCCGGAACTAGTTCCAAACACTATATGTGTATTTGTTTCGTTTATTGATTCTCTCCTTTTTTTCTTTCTTGGGGACCCAAGCTAAAAAAATAAAAATGAAAACATGCAGACGTCGATATAGGCATGTGCAGCATATGTACTACATACTACAATCAAGAAATAATTCGTAATGGTATTTTGAACCACATGGTTACCTTGCTTGTTGCATTCAAAGACATGAAATGTAAACAAGTACATGATGACGTTAAATGATAATCTGGTGTAAACTCTTGTTCAAAAGCGTTGGTTTGCGTGTTCCATATTTTAACTTTTCCTTCAGATGTAATTTGGGCAAAATATTTACCATCTTCACTAAATTGACAAGCCATTTTTGCAGCAACCGCCATGCACTTGGTCTTCTTAACCTCACTCTTTAAAACATCCAAGACCGTGACCATGTGACTATTGTCAATACAAAGAAGAATACATCTTTACCAACAACGTTATAGAATTATGTTGATCGGTCGTGGTTGATCAAACAAAATATTCATTCCTTTGATTTGCATATTATAAAAATTCCATTCAATAATACAAGGGTAAATAATGTTACGATGTGTTCAGTTTACTTTTTAGCAAACGATGAGAAAATCGTGTTTAAAAAAAATCCATCTATAAACCGGTAGATGGCAGACATATTCTCCGTCCAAATTTTTGACAACCTACAGAAATTTGACATTTCGACTGACAGTCAATAAAATAACATTACGATAACTGTGTGTTGGCATAAATAAATGAAAAAGTATTCGGATATTTCATGACGAATAAGAAATTACTCGGGCTAAAAATTTAGAGTTGCTAAAAGTGTACAAAATGTCTTGGCTGAATTTAAATGACAGTTTAAATACTCTCAAGGGACAAATATCAAACTTTGCTAACAATGTTTTGGCTGACGATGATGAAGGGAAAGGTAAAACTCACCCTTATTACCAGGTCAATTTAGGTTGTTATGAGAACAAAATAGTATTTATTTGTAGTAGCTCATGTCTTTACATAATTGTTATTTTTTTATGAAAAAGATATTTTGTTCCAACAAACTTTCCGTGACTTTGCCATTGTCATCGTTTTTATTTCATTTTTCTTTTAGATCCAAACAGTCCATTTGGAGATTTAAAAGAACTTCAAGAAACCTGTAATAAACAACAGGAAGAGGTAAATAAATATTCAGTTATATTTGAAGCACATTGTTACATTTGTGCAAGTTTTACAATGCAGCCTAGGATACCCTGTTATTATTAAGGTCATTTTCATAATTTTTATTTGATGCAGATAAACATATTTTTTTTAACAGAGTAAAGGCCCAATTCTGAATCAAACCTGTTAAAATTTAAAGGTTGTTAAAAAATAAACAGCCAATCAGATTTACGAATTTAACTCGTTACTATGGAAATTTGCAATTTAACACCCTTTAAATTTAACAACTTTGATTCAGAATTGCCCCTTAAGTATGTGATATTTTTTTATTCCATTTTGACAGTTTAAACTGACTTTATTAACTCCATAGTAACCTTCATAAGGAGTTCATGATTCACCAGTGAAAGAGTTGAGTAAATTAAAAAATTTCAATGAAGAAACAGATTTTTATTTCTTTTCCATAAATATTAACATTGAATTAATTTTTGTCTTTGTAGTGTGAAATGTAAAATTTGCAGTTATTCAAATTACTAAAATTTATATTTTTATTTTGTTTTGACATGGAATTTGCATATCTGTTATTAATGATTGTTGATGATTACTCACTGATTCTTCTCGAAATTGTAATTTTATTATTCAGAGAGACCTCTATGTATCCTTCCACAACACTATTCGAACGCCAAACATCGTGGCTCTTTACAATTGTTAAATCTGCCCCAGAGTCTACTAGTAGAGTGTATTCTTCTGGATTTTAAAGGTCTAGAAATTCAGGTCATTCCTACAGGTTGTACCATGGAATTTTTGTTCTTGTAATGATAAACAACCATTTGTGTGAAATCTTTTCAGGCCGTAATATTCTGTATTCCCAAAAAAGGAACAGAGTTACTTCCATTGAGGCTGGTAAATGTTCTGAGTTTATGAGTCTTCATGTCGGGAATTTGGACTACAAGTACCACCCCTGTCTTCAACATCGTCAACTGACATGGCCACCAATTCAAGAATTCTACTTCCTTCAAAAACTCCCACAATAAGAAATATTTTTTCAGTAAATATTCATCACCAGAAGCGTTATCTAAGAACCTCTTCATTTCTTTGAGTGTGAACACCTTGGATTTCTTCTGTCTGTACCCTACAGACTATTGTTTTAGAAAAGCTGACACTTGATGAAATCTCTAATAATGAATAATTTAAACCTCATAAATAATCATTGTGATGTCACAAACCTGCTTATATCAATATTTTCCTCCACAGATAACATATTCTTCAGCTGGGAATAATACGACCATAGGGACGAAGATTTAGCATTTTTATCTTCCAAAATTCCAGACATTTTTGTCTCGCAAAAACACAAATGCCGCAAGTGTCACAAGTTTAGAACAGTGTAAACAACTGATTGTTGAGCTCATTGTCACGAAAATTAGTTTCGCAGTCTACACGATTTCTCGATTGGGATTATTATGATACAAATTTTTATTTATTTGAAATTGTATTCATAAAATTCGTCAAAATGGAATAAAAACATATATGTATATACACCGCGTGAATTAATCATATTTATTCACTTAAAGAAATGATATCACTCGCACTGCGTGCTCGCGATCTCAACATCTCGTATATAAACGTATGTTTAATTCACTTGTATAATATCTATTATCTTTTCAGATCAATTATTTACGACGACTGAATGCAGAGCTAAGTGGTAGGACTAACGCAAATGCTGTAAGTTTTTTTCTTTAATTCTAAATTCAGAGTGGCAAATGTATAGAGAGAAATCAAATTCTTATAAAAATCAATTCAACCGACTCAGTTCTTCCTCTTGCATTTTGCACCTAGAAATTTTACATAAAGTAAACGACATAACAGAAATGTTTTGTCACTTTGCAACAATTCATCAGTGATGTTTTTTATTTAATTTGTTATAGTCGCCACAATATAATCAAATAATCTTAAGGACATTTGTGTGTTTTAAGATTGCAGTGTAAATGTCAAATTTTCATTATGTGCTTGACCATATTTTAAAAGCATTACATATAATTGACTTGTTCTACATATAAAAATATTATTTTGTAATACTTTCAAAATTTATGACAATAGATAACTGAAATTCGAAGTTCAAGATATACAAACACTAGTAGTAAGGCTCCTTCAGAACACAACACTTTTTTTAAGGATACTGCCCGGTTTTTAAAGGTATATTTAAAACAACAAATATTTCCAAGATTTAAAGAAGTAACATTTTTAACCCTTTTACCCTGTTTTTAAGCCCCTTGTTTTAAAAAGGTTCAAATTTTAATGATTCTGCCCTATTTTTAAAAAATATGGAATTTTATTTCGACTAAAAAAATTTTCACATTCGGAAAAATAGTTAAAATTTTAAGGATTCTACCTTGTTTTTTAAAGGTATTTTAAAATTACAAATTTTTTTGGCCTATTTTAAATTTTTATTAGTAAGGCCCCTTCAAAACACAACACTTTTTTAAGGATACTACCCTGTTTTTAAAGGTGTATTTAAGAAAGTGAATGTTTGAAGGATATAAAAAAAGTAAAATTTTTCACAATGTCTCTGTTTTTTAAGTCGCCATTTTTAAGAAGTTCCGATTTTAAGGATTCTGTCCTATTTTTAAGAAATTAAAATTTTATTTCAGCTTAAAAGTAACATTTTCAAAGGCTTTGTCCCGATTTTAAAGCCTGTTAAAAAAGTTTCAATTCGTCTTTGGCTTATGAGGCTGCTGTGCTGAATTTCGAAGCATTTCGATCTGTTTTTAAGTTTGTACTATATGGCTTGTTCAGCACACAATACGTTTTTAAGGATTCTACCCTATTTTTAAAGGTCTATTCAAAAAGCAAATATTTCAAAAATTCTGACCTCTTTTTAAATCAATTTCACAACTACATAAAACCTGATGAAGTCAAAGGCAGTCGCCATTCCCAAATCACTACTCTCAGCCATTTTGTGATCAGTCAAAAAGGTTAATTAACGACAAGAAAGTTGCGTAATTAAAATATTTTTTATTTATGAATACATTTATAATTTAATTTTCCTGCAGGGTTGGAGTTGGAGCTATGTCACTTTCCACAGTATATTATTGTCATTTTGTACTTCAGTTTCCAATTCGTTTATCGTAATCCGTAGAAGCACTGCAAAAAAAAAAAACAATTATTAATTACTTGGGCGCTTACAATGTTTCCTTTCCTAAACAGAGTGCTGATAGCCTGATCTAAACAGCGTTTATTTCTGAATATTATTTTCAATGGTGATCTTTTCTTGCTTTTGAAATTTAATTGCAATGCGTATCGAACCTTGGTGTTGTTAAACGGTATGCACCCCCAGGTATGATTCGGAAAAGGCAAAGGGATCTATTTCTTCATCAAATAGTTGGATTTCAATCCTGTCTGCTGTGATTCTCAGAGTCGCATAAAACTCGTTGTTTTCGTAAATTACCTGCTCGTTCCCTAATCGCAGCTGCTGAATTTATCAGCAGCATGACAACCTCTAAAATTAAAAGATAAGCAATTTTTTTTTACAACTTTAGTGAAATGAAAGCGTTAATAAAAATATCAGTTTTCTATTTTATTAGCACTGACATTATAGAAATCGAATTTAAAGGTTTGTTAATACGACATTATGATGTATGAGTTGAATAAAATTGTTGTTTAAAACAGAAAGCACTAACGAATGTGAAAAAAATAAAAGAAACTATACAAACAAGTATACGTTTCGCTGCTCGTCTTCTCCTTTTCTTGTCCCGTCTCGTCTTTTTCTTCTGGTGTGCATTTATACCGGTGTCTCGTGCTTGTTTCATTTCCTTGTTTCCTTGTTTTTTGCTTTGTTGGCAGTTTGCGCGTTGGAAGTTCGTTTTTAAAAAAGAAATTTTAAGACAATTTTGCTTGTTTTTTTTTTGTTAGTAAGTATAAAATGTTGTAATTTGTTGTGCAGGTGCAAAAACCACTTGTCAAGTTTGCAACCTAATTAATTAATTTATTGTTGCGTATATCTGTTTTTTACCAAACAAATAAATTTATTTTTATTATATAGTTGTCTCTATTCTTTTATAGATGGTGCCCTTTTTTTAATTGTTTTTAAAAGAAATATAACTCAGCCGAGCCTCCCTTCTCAATAAATCGATGTTACGCCACTTTCGTGGTGAAATTACTGCTATTAGAAGTGCCAAGCAGAACGAAAGGTGACATAGGCGGAGCTTCAGATCCGCGCCTATCTCTTACCAGTGGCGTAACTGATTTATCATAAAATGTAATTAAAGTAATAAATGCTCTGAGGACCCTATTACACAAAATTCTTCTTGCTAATAAATACAAAATGACAAAATAAATAATAATAACTTAAAAAAATAGAAGACACAAAACGCTGGCACCAGATATACGAAGACAGTACAAAAGTAAGACAAATTAACGGCGCTACTGCCCCATGTTTCCATCCCCTGAGAGCTATGAACAGACTCGACCAGCGTAACTTGCTTTACTGCGCAACCCACGTGATGGCCCTTTTCGTTTTGATTGTCACTCTATAAAAACTACACACCGACTACAGCGCTATCACGTTGACCGTCAGTGTTGCCAACAAGTTAAAATCCAAAATACTTGTTTGTGAGATGTGTATACTGTGTTGCATATATTATTAATTTCACAAATTTCTTTATTCGGCAAATAAGCAGATAAAATTAAAGGTCTAAGTTCCTACTTACTGTTATTATTAGTACAATACTTGATTTAATTTGTTCTAATATTCCTTTATCAGGAGAATGACAGACAAAACAAACGGTTTCCCCATCATGCTAACCATATCGCGAGTATTGAAACTGTACTGCGTAGATTTCTTAAATATCTGTGGCATCGCGATGAAAGAGTTTATCCATTTGTTACTTATCTGCAGGAAGTTTTTCTAAATCGGTACAATCTTACCAGTTTGTCTGACTTGACCAGGAAGGCATATTGTCTGTCCTGTAATTCTAACTCAGTTGTATTTTAACTTTGGCAACAAGTCTATGGGTTCTCTTCATTATCAACTTTTTTATCTGCCCACCCCAAGAACCGATATTACGAGCCCTAGCAACTAAATATTTGGACGACAAAAATTTTTTATAAAAAAATCACCAAACTTTTTAACAAAAATGTAATTTATTTTAGATAATTAAAATTTTAAAATTAATTCGTTTTTCAAAACTGTTAATGTTTATAGCACAACAAAAACTGATTTCTAACTCAAACAGTGACATAAAACTCGAAAACAACGTAACATTTTGTGACATAAATATTGGGACACAGCAAATTAAGAAACTGGTCACATCTCCTTTTGCCTTAATAACTGCAGGAATTCTTGCCATCATACTTTCAACTAATTTTCTGTAATACACAGGAGTTGTTACCGTATCCTAGACCCGCTAAATTTCCTGTTGAAGATTGACAATCGCTTGTCATAGATGATTTCCTGAATATTTTTTTATTTCACGCCATACCGTCTCTACTAGATTAGGATCTGGGCTATTCGATGGTCAGGGCAAACATTTATATTATTATTCTTTGTAATAAGTGTTGTAGGTGTGTAACTTGAAGCATCATCCTGTTGAAAAATATAAATATCAACAGGGTAGACTGCTTCAGTAGTTGTTAATATTTTTTTACGAAGTCTCTTGATATTTGTTTGCATTTGTAATTTCCATACCATGAACCTTGTTAATTGGTCTTTAAATTCCGTTAATAGACATGCACCCCCAAACCATTTTTCCGCTTGCAAACTTGACTGTTTGTTCGAGATAATCCATATTAAAATTCCTTTTTTATTTCAATAACTCTTTTTCGACTATTATCTCACCCAGACATCAAATTTGGACTCAGCGTTAGATATTACTTTTCACCAATTTTTATTTTGGCCATATTAACCGATTTTTCTTGTGGGCAGTTTTTAATTGTGGTTTTACTTTAGCCTAAAATAATATAAATAAATAATAAAGTCCATCAAAAATAGCTTTATTTAAGATTTACAATGTAAAAACCAAAGCCTGATTTGTGTATCCATTCGCGACAATATTGTCTTGAAAAATTTAGTTGGTTATCGCTATTCCAGCGAGTAGTAATTTCTCTTGAAGTACTCCGTCGTCCACTTTTATAAATTTTCATCAGTTGTCGTTGATCACGCGGCTTCACAAGTGGTGGCCTACCGGGAAGTTTACCTTTTATTCCTATGGTATCCCTGTCTGCGTAATATTTTACGATGTTTCCCATCGACGACTAAGCTATTTGGAATAAATCTTCACTTTTTCTTATCGATTTTCCGTTGCAGTACTGCGCAATTATTATTTTCAGAACTTTTACTAAAACTACCCCACCGCTAACTATTTTTTTCTAAATAAAACCGACACTAGCATGAAGTGCTACGATCCCTATTATAATGGCAGCATTTACCAGCTACTACGTTTGTATTTCGATGGTATACTTAGCAAATTTTCTCGGGTGTCCCAACATTTAAATGTCAGCAAAAATGGCACATTTTTTATTTAGGTGACATTTTTTGCGCTCTAAGAAAATTTATTAATTTGCAAAATACCTCACTCTCTGCCAAAATAGATGCCCATGCAAAATTTGCATTTAGTCCAAACGAGTTGAATGATATCAAAAATATGTACCGGATTTTTTTGAGAAATTGTCTGTGTCCCAATATTTAGTTGTTAGGGCTCGTAATAAATTTAGCCCGTTGTTAAATC